CAGGTCACACATAGGTACTAAGTTAGTAACCGGGTGAGTCTTATCTGTAATAAATTAGATAGTTGTAAATGTATATACGTATATTTGTAACTGCAATACCTTAGAGTACTAATAAACAGTTAAAGCAAGACTGCTGAATTAAAAAAAAAAAAAAATTAAATTACTATTGTTTAAAAAATTTTATTATAAAAATTTGCTTGATTTCTATTGACTCAACCTCATATTTATTATAGGCTATACAATTAACTACAAGTAATCTTAATATAAAAAGGTGATAGGCCAATAGTAAAACTTTTTTATGCTTATTAATAACTTACTATATATATTAAGAGAATTTATTAGAATAGTTTAGGCTTTAATTAAAATTGTAATGTAATTGGTTTTTATAATCCGATATTATATATATGAAATTCACAAAATTTTAAAGAAAGGATATGTTTTCATGAATGAAGAAACAAACAAGCTTGAAACCAAAATCACAGCAAAAGTAAAGGTACTGGCATGAGTCATGGAGGCAGCACTTTTAGCCTGATTGGTGGCAAAATTACTGGCTTGCGGGAAGTTGAACTACTACCATTGGTTGGGCTACTACTATTGGAAGATAACAACACTATACATACAGCGCCTGGGAAAATCACAGATAAAAGATTTGTGTAATTAAATACATCCAGTCGGAATGTGCCATTTGATGGTGCAGGTGGTGTTGTAATGAAACCTTTGGCTAAAAAAAGAAAAAAAACTTTTTTTTATTGCAAAAATTATCATTAAATAAAAATTGTTTGCATATTTATATGAAATATTTCTGATATGCTATCAGTTCAGAGGTGTATAACATGAGTGCCGCCAAAGGAAAATCCCTAATCAGGCTTTAAATTATATATTGTACCAGACAAAATCTATTTAATTTCTTAGAGAATATGTCTGGTACAAAATATAATTGAAATCCCAATTAGGGTTTTCCTTTGGTGGCACTTATATATAAAGGTTATATTGAAAGAATATTGCTAACTGGTGATATTAACCACCCTACAATTTACCAATTAGATTGCGAGATCCTGTGTAACAAAATAAAGAAATTACAAAAACTATTAAAAAAAGTTTTTGGTATCTGTTTTTGCATATAAATAATTTATAATCAAACTTAATATACCCTGTATTCTAACTCTTATCTTTAAAGAATAATTATTTATATAAAAAGTTTTATAAAAATAAAGAGTGGTTAAAATTAGTTAAATTCATATTGAAATTTTGGCTAAAAAAGTCTTTTTTTTACTAAGATAATGTTTGAAAAGCGGTTACTTCAATGATATGTTGTTAAAAGTAGATAAAATTGATAAGTTTAGATAGGTTATACTGTATTTGCTTATATGTAAAATAAAGGTTAATTAGCTTTAACTAAAGTTTATATTAAAGCCAAATTACGGATTGGACCCAGGTAGAAATTGTCGCTATATGATTATCCGAAATACATAATAAATTATCCGGATAACTCAGGTAATTTAAAGGTAGAGTGTACATAGATCATTTTTTATATGATCACCATGGTAGTATATAGTAAATAAAATTATGTTGCTAATAAAACTTTTTAATATTTTGGCTAATTGTTATAAAAATTTTACAATATGTAATTTAGAATATTTTATTTGTAATAGTAAAGTTATAGAATGTAAATTGGTTTAAAAAAAATTATAACTATATTTGCCTAGATTACTATATATTTTTTCTAGATGGTACAAAAATTTGATAATTCTAATTGGTCAAATCATATGATGTTTACATATAAATCATATGACATCATATGATATTGGTTACACAACGTTGATCTACAATCTACTTTATATGAATTAGGAAATATTTACACCCTATCTTTAATAATATCTGGGTAGGGATTTTCTCAACGGATCCAATCTCTAAGCCAAATAAAACCTCTATATGCATTGTTCAGGGTCCTGATATAATACTATTTCCCCAACATCATCTATTGCATAATCAATAAAATTATCTCATAATAAATAGATTCTCAAATAAATAGTCAACACCATTTTTTAACTACAGATTAGTGGAAACTTTTTACTGCTAGTATGAGATTAAATAAATGTGCTAATTCAAGCACTGTAGCTCATAAATTTTGGCCCAATGAACTAGCAAATGAGTACAATGCTAGTTTGAAAACTTACGTGTTGTATTATTGCAGGAACCCAAACCAAAAAGGCCATTGGATTGAACTACACCGCCTTGTGCACTAACAAATATAAAGCTAAGCTAAAAATCAAAAAACTACTGAATTGCTAGTTCTTGAAATAAATGATCAAAGAAAAAGAATTAATTTAATAATAACAATATCACTGTAGAATTTTGAGGATCAAATAAAAATCCAGATTTGCAAACTAAGATTGGAACAACACTAGCATGTCTGTTGAAAACAAAGATAGAAATGACTCTATTATGTGGGACATTTTAATTGTTTTGTAAAGGTATAAATGTATTTTTAAATTTATGAAATTGATGTGGAAAGAATTGTAATTTTATACTAAATAAATATTTATTACAGAGGGCAAAATTACATAGCCAGTAGAGAAAAAATTAAGTACTAAGAGTGTTATTTATGAAAATTACAGTTGAACAAACTGGTTAAAATCGAATTTAACATAAAGACAATTATATGAACACTTTTAGCTAAAATGGAATAATTATATTGAGTCTTCCAGAAAATAACTATATCGAGTGAAACTATATTTAGATTTGAATTAATGTAGTATGAAGATCATATTCTATATAAGAATTAAAATTTAATACATTTTTTCAGAAAGGGTATTCTTATGTCAAGCAAATTTCAGGCTTAAGATCATTTCTGGCCTAAAAATTTTTGGTCATAGTATATCAAAAATTTCCTATATATTTAGTATATAAAAATGCTCCCTATGACTAAAATTTCGTGCCGAAAACTTTTATTTAAAGGTCGGAAGTTAGTTAGCATAGTAAAATTTTGCGTTATTTACAATTTTTTGCATTTTCTTATATTTTTTGCGTTTGTTTTGTTACACAAGATCCTGTAATTTTATTGGATCCGATCTACGAAATTTATGATCGGAAGTGATCTTCAGCGATCTTCAGCCCGGAATTTGCTTGACATAAGGGTACTCCAAATAACACTGGATCTTCATAATAAATTTTTTTAGCAAAGATCTTAAAATTAGGATCGCTTAAAGCCAAATATATCATGATTTTCTGTTGCCTACGATCAATCAAAAATGTCAGGGATCTCTAGTCTTAACCTAACTTGACCCTAACCTTAACATTAATAGTTTTTAATTAGTTTTGTTAACCCCGCTACTGTGATTCCCAAATCGAGTAACTTCTTAGCAAGGTCGATGGTTTTCTCTTTTTGCTGATTTGAAGATCTAGGCTTAAATGCATGATCATGTATATTTCATCGTTAAAAAATGTATAGAAATCATTATTTGAGCACTACATAAGAAAATGAAACTTCGGACTTCAAGCTTCATTTATTATTTATCAAATTCAGCTCGTGAAAATGATCAGATATATCATATATGATAAATGTCATAGATGTTATTATTGTACTATCAGGTTTTTAAAGGCCAAAATCTAGTAAAAATAAATTATAAAATTGAAGGCCCGAAGTATGATTTACTCCTCTAGTTCATCAATCGGAAATAACAATTTTATTATTTATTTAATAATATAACATTCTTAAATTATAATTTAAATTTTTCTAGATTGCAATAAAATTTCTTTGCTAAGACAAAATCTTGTTTCTTGTGTAATATTTACGATAGGATTTTCGAAATATGTGCTAAGCTCTAAACGTGGAATATCAAAATCGGGATTACTGAAAAATCAGTATAATAATATGGAAGACCAAGATAGTATGGTAAATGATGTAGAATACCTATTTAAAAGCTATATATCCCGATCACTATGCTAAGATCACGGAGATTATTATTATTTATATCCATACGAATTTGATCACACACCATTACAATAATTCGACAATTGGCCATTCTTTTTTAGGAGTTTAAAATAAGTGAACGAAATTGACAAACCTTAAAAAGATCAACAGATGAACGGATTTACTGAACCTAAACCTTTATTAAAAAATCACTTATATTAATATTTCTGTATGTTTTGAAAAATATTGAAAAAATATTGAAATTTGAAATTTTCATTGCTACTCATTGTTAGAAAAAATAAAGAAATTTTGCTGATTTTATCAGTTAGGACCGTAATTTGAACCTGAGCTAACTGTTATGAGATCGAAAACCGAAATTATTAGTTTCGAAGACAGATCTATCCTTATTTATTAGTCACGATTAGTTGTTACATGTCTTTAATTATTTTTATTAATTAACTGTATATACATATTATATGACAATACAATCTCAATCCTTTATATTAACTAGAAAAACGGCGACGTTTCGTGGGCTGGAGCCTTAATTACACTTAGAATAAAATATTGTATTAAACATCTATATATTATTATTATTTATAATTATATAATGGAACCATATCATTCTCTAGTGAAAACCCTTTTGATATCAATTTGTCTTTGCTGCATATAACACAAGAGCCAGTTTTATGGTCTATATAGCTGAAGGAAAAGATTCTTTACAAGTAGGGCAATAATTATATTTAAGATCTTCGATATCATCACGAAACTTTTTAGGATATCAGTAAGTTGACAGGGCGAGTTGGGAAAATTTTTAATTTATTGCTATCAGGCTCATTATTTCTTTCAAAAATTTAATTTAATTTAAAAACTATACCTTTTTTTTTATTCATGCTATCTTCTTTACTTGTTAATTTATGTTTCTTTCGTTTTAATACGATCATTATTAGTTGTTAACTGATGTCTGCACCTTTCCTGATTCACTTTTTCAATGAGCTATTTCAGTTATTAAACGTTTTCGTTTCTTCTAGCTTCATTTCTTATAACTATTTGTTCGGGTCGTGTTTTTACATTTTAACTAAGCCCAAAAAAGAATATTTATTTATTACATAATATTACAATACGATGATATCATATTACAGATACGTAGTCGCATTCAATAATTGGAATTTAGGTTATTTTATTATGAAATTATAAATTTTAGGGGGCTTTTTTAGAGATATTTTTTTTTATAGTTTGGTTAGAGTTTAGGGTTAGGGTTATTAATAAAAGAGTTGGGGTGGTCGGTCAACTAATTAAATCAAACATATATGTAGACCCATAATAAAAACAATTAGGCAATTTTTTAATAC